GGGGAGGGGTAGTGAGAGGGTTGCTCAGGGGAGGGGTAGTGAGAGGGTTGCTGAGGGGAGGGGTAGTGAGAGGGTTGCTGAGGGTAGCGAGAGGGCCGCTGAGGGTAAGGAGAGGACTCCTGAGAGTATCCCTCTGGCTGAGGAGTTGGGTATGAAGCTGGGGATGGCTGCTGGGAATACCCACCTGGTTGAGGGTATGGTGACGATTGCGGGGGGGAATATGGAGATGGTTGTGAAGGATATGGAGCAGATGAGTATGGAGAGTAAGGCTGTGGCATTCCAAAACTTGTGGGGCGTGCATTTAAACCGTAATTACTATCGGGATGAGGCATAGCAGTGGGGGCAGAGGGTGTGCCTGGTGGCACGCCGAAACTTGTCGGCGGTTTTTTCCCCGGAAACGGCATTACTGGAGGACCCTTAGATCACAGGCAAAGTTAAATCAATCAATCTACAATTCTACTATTTAGTGCTGAAGCGGTAAAACGATTGTTATCTCGGAATTGAACGGAAATAGGAGAATTTCTCTCGGAACATTTTTTGTAGAACAAAATGAGAGCTACAAAAAAGTACTCGATGAAAATTTCGGTATCTCTCTTAGATTCTGAGATATTACTGGAAAACTCGGCTAGGGGCTAAATCGACATGACCGTTTTACCGCTTCGCTACTGAATTTCATCATGAAGCTTGAACTAGAAAACACAAATCTTTATCTTATTGAATTATCTAAACTTGGAGTTGAAATAAGTCTAGTTTCGGCTTCATAATTTCATTCTACGAATTTTTCATGTTGTAGATGTATTAGTGGAAAACGTACAGGTGAATTGTTTCATTTTAGTTTTGCTCACCTGATATCCGTAACTCATCTTGAGGGACTGAAGGTCAGTGACGATTCGAAACACAATATGTTTATTTGTAATCACGAGTGTCACGTCAATGGGAACACCAAAACGAAAGTTTGAGACACCCTCAAAAACAATAAATACAACTACGACTGTTGAATTAAAACGCGTATGTTTCGGATGAAATGAGGTTGATCTTTACGATTACGTTTAGATTTTTCAACGTCTACCGCACGATATTTGGTCGCGTGATACGAAACCTAGCGAGCAATTTTGTGTTGTTTGTCAAGGTGAGCAGGCAGTAATATACTGACTGAAGTACAACAGAAAGAACCTGTTACGCGGTGAGTGAAGAAATAATGGAATGGTATCAATACCGACTAACTCACACGTCACAGTCACCGGAAAACGCACTAATTGGCTAGAGTATTCAATAGTGTCGTGTGTACATGCACGAGAAGTGATGACGTACAATTTTTTTCGTGGAAGTGTTGTGTGTGTAAGTGAACGCTCGACGCAGTAAAATCGTTGCACAAGTCTCTGTGTGTGTGACAAGTTGCACAGAACGCAGCGGTTGAGTCAGTGGGGGTAACATGGGGAAAATCCTGTTTTTTTGGGAGCTGACAAGTTTCTGGACATGAATTTTCAGCAATTCATCTGCAACAATTTTTACTGCAGAAGCAGTTTCTCAAATTATTTTCATTTTTTGCATTTTATTCGCCAAGTTTGAAGAAGAGTTGAGAGGGAAATTTGGGAGATAGAATTGCAAGGTTGATAGCAATGCGTGGCGCGCTAAATCAAAACTGGATGATTCATGCGGAGAGTCGAGTCTTCGAACTTGTTGAATAGACGTCATCAGATGAAATCATTGCCTGGGGAGATGAAGAGACTGTGAATGACGCAGACATGCGTACATTGACCATTTCATTTTTGGTTTGAGAACTTCAAGAATGTTCGAGGAAAATTCCGTAATTTTACAGACTGATGAGGAACATGAAACCCACATTTCGAATGATTACGAAAAATTGATTGCAGTAGCATTGAGAAAATTAAATCAATGAAGTTCTCCGCATACACAAACTCTTATGGAATTGTCAAATTAATAATTCACCTACTGAAGGCTCCAAAAATGAGGATAAAAAGAAAAATTGAGACGAACGTGGAGAAGAAAAACAAAAGTAAAAAAATTTTTATCAATAAGAAATGACTTGACTCTCTTTATTAATTGGAAAAATTCCGAGTCGTCGTACTTTTGGATAAAAATTCTTAATGTCTCCCGAGGAAGTAATGATACGCATTACTGAGATTGATAAAATTCCTGACGAAGTAATGAAGCTACGTGTTGTCTATCAGATAAGACTCGGTCGGTCCTTGGCCGTTACCCAGGCGTAGATTTATGGAATATTTGTGAATGGACGGGGCAGTGACGTCACCATAGTTTTTGGAACAAACACAGGCTCTCCATGGTTCTACATTTTCTGTAACAAGGCGATCCATGAGGGAGCGCTTGCGCTTTTGATCCTCGTCCACCTGACGGCCCTGAGACCCCTTTATTTTTTCCAGTCCCCAGTAGTGAATCCACACCAGCGGATTCCTTAGCCAGAAGTTCACTCCGTAGAATTCTCTCTGAGCACAAAAAATGACATGTCATTTTCATCATCTGCACGCTAGTCCTCACGTTCACGGCTGCATTCAGGAGTAACGGGTTACCTAGCTTTTAATCTCTGTGTGATATTTTTCTAAGAGTTTAAAGTTATTTGTGCCAACAGCCCTCCTCTCGAGTCAGTGGATGGCCCCTTCCTGAGGGGTTGATTCATCCTCTCGATTATCTCAAAATCTCATTAGACATCGACAATACGGATTCAGCCCTCTTCAATTTAAAAGTAGCTCCAGCAATCGCGAAAATACACTTGCAATTATGAATCAATAGTGCTCAAGGATAACGGTGAAACGACGACCGACGGATGCTGATGATTTACTGGGGATTAACAACACATTTTCGCAAGGGATTTGTCAACGTAAAGCTCTTCCATGTCCGGAGCAACATCCACATATATAATGAAATTGCAGCTGCTTGTCATTGAAACCGATTACTGCTGGCGGAAGGCTTTGTTGAGGTAAGAATCTACAATTTTTAAAACACCATCATCACAATATTTGAATTTACGACTGAATCAATCGTTTAATCCACGTAAACTCTCGTCAATGTGGTAGTGAAGCGGTAAAACTGTTCAAGTTAATTGCTCAGAATTGAAGAGAGATGAAGGAATTTCTCTGAGAACCTTTTTTGTAGAACGAAATGAGAGCTACAAAGGAGTTTCTAACGAAAATTTTGCTATCTCTCTTATATTCAGAGATATTCCTCAAAAAATCAGCCAGGAATGGAGTTGACAGCGACCGCTTTGCCGCTCCGCTACTGAGGGGGAATTTAAAAATTACCGCCATGCCCTAGGGTTTTCCCCTGCCGTCAATAATCCCCAGCACCGCCAATGATAATATCCGCGGCAATTGGTACGAATGTTCAGTGAGTGCACGAGCACCGAGCACCGCTTGAGAAGGGGGTGGTTGTCCATAGGATACAGTCCAACCATCACAACTTTCGCGTTAATTTCTGAACTGTGATTAAAAAAAGTCCACAACTTTGTCATTCAGTCGACAGTCGAAGGGATCGTATCCCCTTAATTGCCATTTCGAAATCAATCACACCTATCGTATTTTGCATATGTCATGTCGTGACATTAAATTCAACAGTGTCGCCGGAAATAATATGTGATAAAAGGTATTCGCGATATCTCTCCACGCAAGACCAACGGTCACATTCGCGAGACAAACGCTCCGAGATGCTGTTAATACGTTACAAGTCGGAGCGGTTGAGCTATGAGTTTGCGTAATAGATCTGATAGTGATCTAGTCACTTCAACATGTAAACTCTGGATTATGGAGAATTGACGATCATCCCCCGATTATTATTAAATCAAAGCATTTTTATATTCGGTTAGTGTTTATTTTCTGTTCTCATCTGTTCTGCCTCTTGTGTCTCTAAAAATAAGAGAGTTTACAGTCGATGCGTCAGTGAAATCAGCAACAAAGTGCCTTTGTGAGACAATAATAATAATAATCGCTGATAGAAGCAATACAATGAGCGCGTAATTTTTCCAATTGGTTATGTTTTCGTTTTAATTTTCATTTCACTCTGCATTTGACAGCAACAAATATCATTTTTCATGTCTCAACACATCGTGACATGTTTCGATAGTGAAGTTTAGGGAGAAATTGCTGTTTAATAGTGCGCGTACACATTTTTTTAATAAAAATACATAAATGCATAAATTAAGGTTACCTGTCAAGGTTGAATTGCCCTCGGCGTTAACAAGGTATGAAGAAGCCTAATGAACAGGTATTGATATAAGTATTACATTGAAACTTTGGCGGTGTCAGTGGTATAGATTTAAGGGAGTTGTGCTTTTTAAATGATTTAATACAATGACTCATGTGATGAATAATGTTCTCTCAATTGGAGTCATTCCCATTTGGGGTTTGACTTCGTTCACTGGTGCGTCGATGGGGCAGGAATTGGGGATTTGGAACCCGCATACATCTCAATCTCTTTGTCATGCCTATTTTTTAATAGTTACTCTGTGCGAATCCAGTGGTAATTGATTCTCATGTGCTGACTGTTTGAGTGGGTGTGAGTGCACGTATTGCTGAAGTATTGCGTAGAAAATGTCGGGTTTATCTTGAATTTTGAAGCTTTTATTATTTAGTTGACGTTTATGCATTTGTTTATTTATCTAGGCATTCGCTTATTCTGGTCTGGACTGGGTCTCGTACTATCCTCTGTTTCATGATAATATTTGTATCAAGCTCGTAAACTATGGACTAATCAATATGACATACATGTTGTTACTCTAGGGGATATGCGATAAATTAGTTGAAACTGTGATTTTTCACTTTTTGCAGAATTCTTTGTGATCTGTAAACCCCGTCAGCGAGGGGTTAAATTAGTTCATTGCCCTCAAGTTCGGAGTAAATTTCCGTGAGGACTTTTTAAAGATAAAAATTGTAGATTATTCACGTTATGATTTTTGTTGTTTATTTAGCTCTAACTAATTTGAGGTAAATTTGGCTCAAATTTGTAAACTATTGACTAATTAATATGATAAACATGTTGTTACTCCAGGGAATGCCCAATAAATAAGCTGAAACTATGATTTTGTATTTTTCCGTGGAGATATTTCGTTGCATTTTGTCCCCTGAAGGAACGATGAATCATAATGCCGTAAAAGAATTCTTCGGTAAACAGATACTCTGAGTCATTCGTGAGGGCTATTGATGTTCAGTTTAGATAACCATTTGCAAACTTGTGGAAAACAGAGGTCGATTGTTCGTTGAACTCGGGAGGTTTGAGTTTATTTACTGAGTTGAGCGGTCGGCACAGGATGGAATGTTCGGGGGTTGGTTATCACATTTCTCATGCATCATAACTTATCTATTGACTACAACTTCCACTAAAAGCTATCTAGTTCGCCTCCCACAGAATGAAAAGAGTTACACTCGCAGGAAGTCATTCGCATTCGTGAATCATAATTTATGACATCAGCTGATAAGTTGATTTAAATAAAAATATTACGGCATCCCTCTCAAGGGGAGTATTTGGCGAACTTGGGTGGGAACATCGGTGTTGCATTTCAACTCTGCAGATTTCCCTCTTGAGAAAATCGCATTTTCCCTTTCGGCAGCGGACATTCCCCAAATTTTAACATTACGAAAACTTTGCGTTTCATTTTTTATTTCATCATTCGTACAGCCCTAGAACTCGTGTGAATACGTTGTTTGTTCTATAAAAATCCATATGCTCGGCATAAAGTGAAAATTCTTCAGAGGGGACACCTGTATTCACTGACAGCACTGTGTCACGCTCATATCAGGTGTTGTAACTCCGGCCACTGGTAATAAACTATTCACGGTGAACTCGCCGAAAAATTCCAGTTTATCTACCTCTTTAAAAAAAAACCCACAATGCAAAAGTTATTTTTATTATTTCTTCAGCCGCTCACCGCAAAGCAAATGAAAAACTCAAAGGCCTCAAATTTATTAATCTATTCAATCCGCCTGTTCAATGCAAAAAGAGGAAATACACAAATTGTGGAGAATCAGTTTTTTATTTTCTCTGTGGCGACCGGAGAGATAGGAGTTCATGGAAATGCGCAGTGTAAAAAAAATATTCTCCACTCCCATCATCGACAAAATCCACCCAAACTTTGTTATGCCGGAGCTCGTGAATTGGAAACGGATGCGATGGAGAATGAAAAATGGGTTTGAAGCTCTGGGCTCGCGTGAAATGTGGAGTTATTAAAAAATCATGAGGTTTTAATTCCCGTAATTTGTTTGTACCTAGTGGAGACTTGGGTACTTGGGGATGACTGAGAATCCTCGATTTGAATAGGGAGAATGAGAGAGGTGGGGTGTTCGTACCAAATCGGGCACCTTTCCGATGTCGCAAGCGTGAGATAAGGCTAGAGGCCGCCAACCAACCCAGACTGACCGCACGACTCAGAGCCGCTATTAGTATATCGTCGAGTCTGCATGAGCATCGTCAACAAGTCACGCCTGCTGACATTCCGTCAAGTTTACCGAGTTTATTATTTCTCTTATTGTCTTATTGGTGATTTTTCTTCGCGGCGGGTGCATTACATATGTGGAATGTGGCGACCTTGGTGACGAGTGTTTTATGGTTTTAAGTAATTTCGAAAGGATGAATTTGTACCGCAAAGTGGGTGCAATGTGTGTTGTACGTTTGTTGAGAAGCCAGAGTTGATGCTTGAGAGATACGTCGAATGTAGTTTATGAAATCGGTTGCTATTTTTTTTTCGCAACCATGCAACCGCCTGCCTTCGCCGGCAATCCGTAAGTACAGCAACTTGACGCTTTCCGTATGGATATTCCACTTCGCATTTTGCAAGGTTTTTTCATTATACACGGCTCACGGGCAACACTTTGAAAACTGTTTTTTTACGGATGTTCCAGCTAATGAATAGAATGATTCAGTAATTTTATTCTGACGGCTGCGGTTGTTCAGGGCTGAACTAGGATGTGTTATTATTTTTCTTGTTTTTGTGGAAGTACATCGCGCATTTTCTTTATTCTTCTTTTTTCATAGCCCATATTTTAATCCCGCTCGTGTTTGTGATGATGATTTGTCATTTTTTTTTTCAAATTCGGTGCGAAAAATTTCGCATTCTATTATGGCTGGCACTATTTACCAAGTCTGAAATCCATTCCAGGTGCGTCTGGCTGTTTATCGCATGGCTTAAGAAATGTGTCTTCTCAATGGAGCGGAAACTAGCGAAATAGTCAACAGCGAAAAAATCAGTTTAGGGGTTTTTTGGGGGTTCAAGTGTCAGACAATCCTACAAACGTGTTTGCTGATGACTTTTAAATAATTGTAATTCTCAGCTAGTTTCATTTATTCATTCGTTAGCCTTATAAATCTTGATTAGTTGGAAGGGCTTATCTAATTCCAGTCAAAGACATTATGAGTAATGGAAAAAAACGAGGAAGAGCGAAAATGTCGATAAGTAGACTTAAAAAACAAAAGAATTCATCATGCAATTACCGTAGTCAATTATCTCTGTTATTGAGGCTTGCCACGGTCTTCCGTAACGCTATTCAATAACTATCATATCGGTAATGGTATGTGCGAGTAGACAGAGCCAGTCTTGTGTTTATATCTCTTCGTTGTGTCTTTTATTCTGAATATCCCTGACGTACCCAACAAGATAGACAAAAACAAGTTGAATATGGATAAACTTGTATTGAATTAGAGGAATATTATTGTATGTAAATATGCAGATTTTTATTCCATTGTGTTTACCTGGGTTTTCTTGCCTATCGAGAATCCAACAAGCGATTGATTTCCTTATGATTCATGACGTTGAAATGAACAAATCTGCATTCGTTAATCTGCAAGTTTAATTTTAGATTAGCCAATTTATTCTTAAAGGGAGTTGAGTTGAGCGTAGTTATCGATACATGGGATAAGATCGAGGATAAATTGACAATGACCCGATATACCATTTTTTTTAATCGACAAATCTACTTGGGCTTGACCAGATCAAGGTTGAATTCCAGAAATCACACGGTTGAATTTCGATTTGAAACAGTATAACCGTAGTGAGAGGTAAATCAGGCTCGAGCACTTGTGATTCAGTAATTCTCAAGGACCAGTCTAATTCTGGAACCCATGAATATCCCGATTCGGAACATGAAATCCCTCACCGGAGAATTTATACCGAATCATCCCAGCTTTGTTCATAATTCATTCAATCGTTGCTTTAGATATTCGAGAGACAATTATTTATATTTTGCTTCTTGTTTTATTCCAGTCTTCTCTCTTTACCCTCGTTATTACCGACTTCTCCTCTTTGCAGAAGTTTATACAGGGTGACATGAAGCATGATAAGTCAGAAACTATTTATGATAAATCCTTTTAAATCCGATGGTATAAATAGCTCAACACTGGGTGATGTAAACTCAGGCGGACATTCTATTTGCTGTGACAATTCTAGATAATCCAATGAAGCATCATATTTTCTGAAAAATATAGTTAATTTCTACTTTCTAAGTGCAAGGTGCAGACTCTATTTGCTTCAGAATATTTTACATCTTTCTCGCTTTTAATGAATCATCAAAGTACTATGGCCAAGCGTCATAATATGTATTACACCACCGGATAAATTCCCTCGCATTTCTTGCGAACGGGGAAAACAGTCACCTCGTCACGTGTGCTTTATAGTCCTCGTGCAATTTTTTTTCCATTTTTCAAACTTGCGTTATATAATGGTTTATGGCTGTGTAATCCAACTCCCTGTGTTTCATGAACGTGGGTTTCAATTATTGACATTATATCTAAAATTAAAGACGTGCAGCGTAGAAACTGCAATTGTCAGATTCGCAGTTGAGCTGTTTTCTCTGATTGCATCGAAGGCTATCCTCAGTATTCATTCATTCATTTTAGATCATCATTCCGATCGAATTCTTCATCCAAGTTGAGAAGCAGTTCAATTGATGTAGAAGCGAGTGAGGCAAAATAGAAACACATGTATCAATTGGGTTCAGTCTGGGCTCATTGTAGAGGGGAAGAGTTGCATTTTACGCGCAAAAAAATCGAACGTGTCCATTTTACCCCACAACAATAGTGAGACGCATTTAATCAAATTGAATCCTCAGAGAATTATTCACAAATCAATAAATTCCGTATGATGTAGTTTGAGACAGAGGAAATGTCCTCCACTCAACTGGTCTTCATGATTATTTTTCCTTCTTGTTTCAGGATGGTATTGGATCACAAGGCGATAACTTTGCACAGTGATTACGGAAGTTTCGATAGACCATTGGCTAACGGTGAGGGACACGAGAAGGACGTTGAGGCCGCTGTTGATGGGAGCACCAGTGGAATGGCCCAATCTAGTGACGTTTATCAAAGGCAACCATTACTTCCTGGTGCACCAACTAAAGGAAAAGACAGGTGGGGCGGCGTTGGCTCGAATTCAGATTATTATGAGGATGAGAATGATAAAATAGATAGCATTGGACATCCTCGGGCAGGCTTGGAGAATGGCAGTGGCATTGTCAAGCTTGATATTCCCGCACCACTTCGGGAGGAACCACGGTTTCCCAAGGAGAAATGGAAAACTCTCGTCGGTATGTATGGGGATTAATAACATTTCCTTTATTATCAAGATCTTAAAAAAAGTTTTCACTTGTAACAGTAAATAATTTTATGTGAATTTATTATTTATTTATTGATGGCGGGAGAGTTTCACAGGTTTAACAATGACGTAAAAATTACAATAGTTTACAAGAATGTAACAATTTTTTATGCTAGATTGCCTTTTCTCAACTTGTTTAATTTTCACGTGTAAATTATTGACAATTTTCTGTCCATTGCAGCATTTCTCTTTTTGGTACTCAACTTTATCCTCACAACAACATCACTTGCTATGGTACATGATCGAGTACCAGATAGAAATGTTTATGGTCCATTGCCTGACATTGTTCTGGATAATGTTGAAGCACAAGATTGGGCACTCACTGTGTCTGAGGTTCTCATAGTGATTGGGTCAAATTCAGCTATGCTTCTTATTATATTTCATAAACACCGGTGAGTTAACGTATTTTATAATGACGTCTGCATCAATAAATGGTATGAAGTGTAATGTTTTTATTATTTTTCTCAGATTCATCGTAGTCAGACGGATATTTTTGGTGATGGGTTTGTTGTACATGATGAGGAGCATCACATTCTATGTAACAGCCTTACCACTGTCTAGTAAAACATACTACTGTAGTGACAAAGCGAATCATACAACTCCTCTGATCATCACAAAACGCGTTCTCCAACTGATGTCTGGTTTTGGTCTTGTGATAAATGGAAAGCATACGTACTGTGGTGACCTTATTTTTAGTGGACACACAGTTATCCTCGTACTTTGCTACCTGATTATCAAGGAGTGTGAGTGAAAGATGCCCTGAATTTCAGTGAAATTGAACGAATTATAAATTTTCTTCATTTGCTCATATTTCCATATTCTTTTAGACTCTCCGAAGAGGTGTCAACCGATCCACTGGCTCGTTGGGATAACATCTTTCATTGGCGTTATTATGATTTTAGTCGCTCATGGACACTACACTGTGGATGTCATTATAGCTTACTGGGTCACCACGAGACTGTGGTATATTTACCATACTATGGCTAACAATGTACAATTGAAGGTAAATATTGAACATTTTATGATTTCTTCTCACTTGCACTGATACAAATTTCTCCCTGAAATCTTCGATGCACTTTGTGGAAATTCAAGAAATTTCATTCATATTTTTAATTTCCCACCTTTAAAAAACAAATGCATATCCAATATTTTTCGATCGCAATCAGCTATTTCATAATTCTATTCACGAAAAGCTACCATTCCAAGAACTCCGTGTCATGCGTTTCCTATATTTTTCATAGCAATACGGACCAAACAACTATTTGGCGAGACTCTGGTGGTTTCCACTGTTCAAGTATTTCGAGAAAAACGTAGGTGGAGTTGTACCACGACAATACGACTGGCCTCTCCCTTGGCCTCGACGGTTTCTTGCCAAGCATCCCAATCGGGATAGTTAATACTCGTCCCAGCTTCGTAGTTATCTTACAGCTCTGTAATAGGACATTTTTCCCCGGTTCTGTGTGAATTTGTACATTAGGTATCGTAAACACATGGAAAATAGATCAATGGGGAGTGAGGGGGACCTCTGAGGGGGGAGAGGGAGCCTGTTGTTCACAGCCGAAAACCATTTCACTTGTAGAAAAAATAATAGTTTCAAAGGTAATTGCCCATCTCATCGTTTCTATATACATCTGCTCGATCTACCGAAATTCCCGATTTTTTCGTTTGCCAAAGCCTCTGGATTACAACTCAGGCGAATTTAATATGTTCTTTATGTGTTCACACACGATGTTGAAGCATTCATGGGTTCTTTAGGAGAATTTTTCCAGTGATGTTGGAAAATTTATCCAATTGTAATTAATAAGTTGAGGGTGAAAATTGAATGTTAAATGCAATGCTAATTGGAATAATTAATCTTGGTAAAAATATGAGAAATTTCATTAGCCTTTTGTTATGCTCTCTATTGAGTATTTATAATAAAATTTCCGTAACTTCGGCCTCTAAAACTCCTTTATTTTTATAATTATCAATGAGACAATGATTTGTTGATTTTTTTTAAATAAACAGCAGAAGGATGCGAATAGTAGATCGTGGAATTTCGTGGGACCAAAAAGAAATAATAAACATACTGGAGCACTGTAATTTAAAGAAAATCGTGCATCAATGGAATTAGAAAAAAGAGGATAAAATATACGCAATAAATTAGACACAGATGGTCAGAGATGCTTGACAAATGCTTAGAGGCATTTGAAATCGATGTCAATCTCACAAACTCGTTCTTTGTCAATGTCTTTCAAAGTCCTTGTTACCTGATGGTTGAATGGTAGAAACACCGCGTGAGGTTTCTATCGTCTACTTCAATTTACTTCAAGAAGAACATTAGATCAGAAAAAACTGAATAGAACGAAGGAAAGTGAAATGACAGTGAATTACAAAATTCTTACTCCATCGTTGTGTCGTAGTTTGTTTAATCACGGGGGAAAGAAATACTTGCCACACGTCATTTCATTACAAAAACTAGGGGAATTTGTACTCTTTTGAGATGCCCAGGAGATGAAAAATGTGAAATTTCAATTACAATTTATAAGGGAATACAAAAAATTTCTAAAACAAATATACAGACTGGAAAGTAGGAGAATTGGCCCTAACAATTATTTCCCCGCCGATTTTAATGGAGAGTGGGGAAAAATGGGTCATTATTCAGGCACAACACAGAGGAAAAGAATTCTACTCTTCAAAAAAAAAACAATTGGTCCATTTGATCAGAATTTTAATGAATTACTGAGTCAAAAAAAATACCACTTGTCCATTTTGCCTCACTCCCCTCTACAGTAATAATTTCGAGACCACAACTAGCACAACTCGCAATCTCGCGGTTATTGTGAATAGCTCCTCCAGAATAAAAAAAAATATATACATGTGTAATGATTTTAAGTATATATTTTTCATAAATTGACTACATGAGATTCATGGAAAATTAGATAGGAGTCCAACCTTGGAACGACTTGATTATTCAACGCCAACAATGGAAACATAATGTTGCTTAACTATTTACGTTTATTATACACATATTCTGTATATAGTCCTTTTGAAAAGATAATAGGAGAATCTATATTACGTCTACGGTGTAAGCTTAGTTGGAGATGTCCGCACTATACTCTATTGTGTACTCAAACGCATTCGTTCCTCCCAGATTGTGAATTTCTCGGATTCGTGTGAGAGAGGATGGTTAATTGAAGTGTTTAGTACTTTTAGCCGAGGAGTGGTGATGAGAAAGTGTGATGATTCGTCTGCGAGGGTTTTATAAACAATGTCGAGACGGAGTATTTTATCTATGAAGTAGTGATGCCACACGAGAAATGAAAATTTTGAGGCTGAAAATGAAGTGAATTAGAAAGCGAATAATTTTCATCCTCAGGATTTTTTACTCTTTTTTTAAACAAAAGAGATATTTTCCTGTTGTACATGAGGAGCAAGAGGACAAAAGGATTGTGATTCTTGTTTTCTTGTCTTGTGGCAACACTTCTCTGAAGGAGGTTTTAAGTAATAAAACACCTTTCGATAATGAAGCTTAAACTAGCGAAAGATTCGCCAAAAGAAGATTCGATCTAGGGGAATCACCCTCGGGAATCCCCAAAAGTAAACTTTTCGCTGACGAATATTCCGCCGATTTCAGGCTCGTCCTTCAATTAATATAAAACAAGTTACACACTGATATAAATGTGTTTATATACGGTTTATTATATGTAAAAATATGGGTGTTACTATTCTATACAACACGTTAAGCTTTAAGTCGGTATATTTATGCACATCTTTCGAGCAATAAAATGTCGGAGTTGCTTTCTCTCAACACAAGAGCTTCGTTGGTGTTTAAATGAATGAGAGAAAAAATAACATAAATATAGTGAAGAAAAGAAGTAAAGAAATTTGTAATCTTTATGAGTACATCGACGTGTTCTCTCGCGTGCGTATGTTTGTAAGATAACAATAACTATATTTTTACGTGTAGATATTTTTTTGTAAAATTGTTACTATGATATGTCTAGATATAGAGAATTTGTTCATGTTGTATATATGACTTGAATAGCTGATGAGCTTGGTCATAATGCGATCATTGTTTCTCGAAATTCAAGAAACTGACTCTCTGATTCTGGATTATAGTGTCGATTTGGATAGCTTTTTTCTATTGATGAGTTTTGTAAAGGCAGAATTATTGTACAACTTTTATTTTCCACAGCTAAAGAACTCTAGGTAATTTTTCAAAATTTGGCAACTATTGTTACCAAAATACACGGTAAATATTCAAGTTCTCAACCTATTTTTATGATTTATTTGCATTGTAATGCTTACTGAAAGACAAGATTGAAGAGGAATGTATAATTTCTGGAAATACACTGTTGAAGAAAAAAAATTACTAGCCTCTGCATTAATTTCCTCTCGATTCATTTACTTTCCTCTAAATTTCATAATTTACATTTGACGTCATTTTCATTAAAAAATCTAGCGCAATCGTCGAAAATTCTATCGAAATCCCGTTGGAAAAAGAATGGGATTTCCAGCAGAATTTCACAGAAAATTTGGCAAAAAGCACATTCGTTCAATCTTCATGCATTAGACTGTCATTTCTTCCCACCCATTCCCGTAAACTTCTTCATAACCCTTTCGGCCCCGCCATAAAAATCCCCAAGTGATCTAAAACTCCCAATTAAATTATTATTTCGCATAATGACCGATCCCAGTGACGAAAGATCCAAACGAAAAAACCCGCAAGCCACCACCAAATGGTTCAATTTCCGAGTGCTATCCCCCACCTCCGCAATTCTCAGCGGCTCCTACTCGATGTCTGACAAGCATTTCAAGTTCCAAAGCCGCGGAAAGCAGGGAACCGCCGCAGCAGTCATCTCAATAATCCTCGGTAGCATTTACGACCCCAAAACCTGGACGAAATATCACGTCGACAAAATCCTGGAGTACGGCGATAAACTCTACCGAAGGAGTCTCGCTCGGAACAAGGCCGAGCCCTCAGCCTACATGACCACCAGCATGATATCCCCCGAATTCTTCTTCGAAGACTACAAATGCCTGATCTCCACCGAGAGCCGAAACGTTTACGGAAACCTCTTCGCGGAGAGCGTCGGCTGTCCGGATTTCGCCGACGGTTTGAAACGCTTCTTTAGAAACGATAATTGCGGCGTAGTAACGGCCCAGGGCGTATCAGTTGGCATGTGGCACGACGCCAATCACGGCTATTTCTACTTCGATGCATCTCCGTGCAGAGAGTCAGGAGAACGCTCTTTCGACGGTACTGCCTGCATAATTCGATTCAAATGTCTTAACGACATGCAGGATCTCTTCCTCGGTAATTTGAGCCGCAGCTACGACTCCCGCTATTGCATCGATAAGGTCACGATTCTTCGTGTCGCACCTGTCAAACGATCGATCATTTTTCCTGCTAAAGTGCCTGTTGACAGCGTCGAAGCGCCGCCGAAGAGAACCGAGAAGACGATGGACTGCACTCAGGTTCTCCCGAAGAAGGATAAATCGTTGGCTCTGGCGACGGTCATTAATAAGGAGCCTTTGCTGATAACTCTTTCGAATTACAGTATCGATAAAAAATTCGCGACGATGCCTCTTATCAACCAGAACGCCTTCGACACTGGGTACCAGTACAGAGATGTCGAGGTGAACATTCCTCCGACATTCAAGCATTTTTCCGATGGCATTTCAATCCTTCATGGGTGGACACACGAGTCCAGTGAGATGTACAAAGGAAAAGGCGCGCAGAACGTCGCCAATTGCATTATGGCCATTGGAATGAAGGGGATTAATGACGTGCGAGCCTGGTTGAGGCAGACTCTGGACGATATTCTGGCGCTTGGGGATGCTCTTCACGCGGAGGTGAAAGCCGCGAAGCCGAATTTGAAGGCCTTGACTGCAGCGGATTTTAATGACACTCGGGTGAAGATCGAGGGGACGAGAATGTTCATTAGCGTCGATTTGATGACAGTCGTCGGGACGATAAACTCGAAAATTCCGGCGGTTCTGAACCTGAGGCAGGCTCTGGGGGAGTTCTTCGCGGTGCACAAGGATGGCATCGTCGAGTGCTCGTCGATGGCGATCGCAATTTGGACCCAAGACGACTATTTTTACGCGTTCGACCCTCGAGAGTGCGACATAACTGGGGTTCGAGTCGTTGAGGAAAAGGGCAAGTCCGGGAAGGAGAGCAAGAATGCACCGGCGGCCACCGCGAAGAAAGCCAAGGGGAAGTGCTGCGTCATGCGGTTTCGCGATATCGAAGGACTCGTCAGTCACTTCGTGGGGAATATCGCTTCTGCTAAGAAGAATGATCGGTTTACTGTGAGGCATGTTTCGGTGATGGAGGACTTGCCCGGTCTTCAGCCGTGGTTCGAGTTCCAGAGGGGCGAGCCTGGGAAGACGTGGATCCTCCAAGGATCTCTGTCGAACGATTCGGAAGAGTTTGAGGATGAGACTCGCGGAGTTCAGGGGCTAGCGATGCCGGTGGCGGCATTGGTTAGTGCCTCGGAAATTCCCCCGCAGATGTGGACCCGAGAGACTGTGGATGATGTGGTTAGAGAGGGGAATGAGTACTTCACGTGGTGCATTCCCCTGGAGAGAGAAGAGGATCGAGAGCTCACGCTGGAGAGATTGAAGAGAGTTTTCTTCGTGAAGAATAGGAAGATTAGGGTGAAGGTGGAGGATTCCTCTGTTGTGGGGAGCTTGGAGCCTCCACCGGGTGGATTAATGAAAAATTTGGGAGAAGGTATGAGCGAATTCTTCAAGACGCATCAGTTTGGCCTAGTTGAAGTGAAGAATTTGGCCGTTGCTGTCTGGAAATTCGAGGAGGAGTTGAAGGACAAGACGAAGATAATGGCGTATTACTATTTCGATCCGAGTCCGGGAATTAATCTGAACGAGACTGACGAGGGAGACGTCGAGGGGGAGCCTGGAGCCAGCGTCATTCGAGCTATTGATCCGGGAGAACTAGCGAGACTCATAGCTTCTAGAGTGGATCCCGAAGCCGAAGGCCCCAACGATTTCTTCATTCACGGGTTTGAAGTCGTTTCTATCGGGGAAATTCTGAGCTCCGAAGATCTTGAACGAGAGAAGAAAATACCGATAAAACCAGAGCTTAACGCTTATAAAGAGTTCGGCGAGGAAGGCGCGTGCATCAACGGAAGTTTTGATCAGACGAATGAGACAATTTTCAAAGAGAGGACTCGGAATAAACAGCAGGCAGCCAATGCTCTCGTTTCACTCGCCATGAGGCAGTTTTATAATCCGCATTTGTGGTATCAAGAGGTTGTTGATGACATCCTAAAACTCGGGGATAGGATTACCCACGAGAATATGGCGAATATTGAGGGGGGAGAGGAGGCTGAGGGGGAACCCCCGGCGCGGAATTATCTCATACCGACGGAGATTGAAGACACCTTCGACATCGGTGTCAACAGGTTCACGGTTACCATTGAGGAAGAAAAGTCTAGAGGAAGTCCGGCAGAGTTGACGCAACTCCTGGAGGAATTTTTCAATGAGAATTCTATGGGAATTCTGCGACAGGAGCGGGTGATGCTGCCGATTTGGAAGGAGGGGGATGTCTTCTTCATGATGGACCCTAGGGGTCGCGGCCAGGATGACCCGAAGGACAAGAGTGGTACCGCGGGGGTCTTATGGTTCACCACGATACCTTCTCTAGCTTCAACTCTAGCGCAATCTCTCGCAAATGATGAAGCTGAAGTGGTTCTCGATGGAGTGGAATTGGATAATGAATTTGAATCGAAAATTCCGGAAGGACAGCCTGAAGATATCACCGACGACCACTGGTACAAATTCTCGAAGAAGAGGGAGGGCGTTTGGGAACTCTTGGGAAGTGTTCCGATTTCTGACGAACAATTCCCCGAGGAGAACAAGGGAAAGCAGAGCTCTGCGGTTGCGGTTGTGTCCCTAATCTTTTCGAAAATCTACGAACCTCATCAGTGGACAACTGAGATCGTCAATGAAATCGTCGTTACCGGGGATAAACTGTACGAAAAGTCTGCCTCTCGTCTCGGTGAGGCCTCGGGGCTATCAGTGAACGACATCGTCACGGAATTTTTCTTATCGAATCGTCGCATCAATCTCGTGGTTTCGGATTGCGTACAGGCCGGGAGTATTTCCCAAGACCCGAAGGTTCAGGATTTAGAGACTGGGATTGACAAGTTCTTCGGAGAACACCAGTGTGGAGTGTTAACCATCTTTAATGCCGTGCACATTCCCATTTGGAGATGGAAAGATCACTACTACTGTCTCATTTCGAATGCTGCCTCCTCCGACCCCGAGAAGCCTCCGGAAAACGTCTCAGCCCTTCGCTTCACAGCGGTAGAAATCCTCTCGGGTTACATCCGAGAAGTATTCGGGAATGAGGGAGACTATGAAATCAGTGCAATTGACATTGTGGATTGGAATAAGCTGCCTCCTTGGAGACACGACCCCAGTGTGGCGGTTCGTCCGACTAATCTCCCCCCTCTGAACGCTTTCAAACGTCTGGCAGGTGGCGATGCCCGAGCTATCCTCTGCGGAAGCACCCACCAGGGCTCGAAAATCTTCCCCTGGAACATCAGAAACAAGCAGACAGCTGCCAACTGCATCGTCGCATTGGGAATGTCCGTGATAAAAGACCCCATCACCTGGACGAAGAAGACATTGGACGAAATATTGGTTGTGGGCACTAACGTCCACGAAGAGAGCGTTAAATTTGATAAGGTGCAGGGGAGGCTGAGGCCTCCAGACGTCATCAGGATATTCAACATAGGCGCGAATGTCCTGACTGCCGATGTGGAGCAGGCGACATTGAGTGGACAGGTAGCCGTACCCCCTCCGGAGCCCGAAGTCAAGGGGAAGGGCAAGGCGAAGAAGAAGAAACCACCGAAAGCTAAGAAGAAGAAGGGAAAGCAGAAGAGGGCACCTCCTCCACCGCCAGCCATAATTTTCCTGCAGGAGGGTCTCACTCAATTCTTTGAGAGCAACCGCGCAGGGGTTTTGAGCGCCGGAAATTCCATGATCGCACTTTGGAAGGATCAAGGCCTCTATTTTCTCTACGATCCTCGCTCTCGAAGTGATCGAGGCTCGGTTGATGACTCCGGGGCGGCCTGCGCCATGTGGTTCGCGTGCTTGGAACCCCTCTACGACATTATCTTTACGAATCTTGAGGGCCCGGAAAAATATGGGCAGTACAGCATCAGCAGGGTCATCATCAAGAGGAATATGATAGAAGGCTTGCCTGGTCCCGTTGGATTCCAAGCGTTTTTCGATTGCACTCTGCCGCCTGTAGCTGTCGTCGCGACAGAGAAAACTGTCACGTTGGAGGTGCAGCCTAGGGGAGAATTCAATGTCATTGACGGTGAATTGAGTGTTCTTGTTGGGACCATCAGCATGTTCGATCAGACGTTTCATGCCAGCACGAGGGGTCTGCAGAGCACTGCAATGGCCGCTGTGGCGATTGTCATGGGACTCCTGCACGTGCCATCGACTTGGACACCTGCAATCATCGATTGCATCCTCAAATGTGGGGATATTCTACATGGCGACAGTGTCCGAATGGCTCGCTCGGGCACTCGATGTCTTTCCCCCTCGGAATTACTCACTTGTTTTCTCGTTGGAGACACCAAGGCAGAGATCAGAATTCATCATCACACTGCGGCGGGAATCGTGCAGGTTCAGGATTTAACGGAGGCGTTGACATTGTTCTTCAGAAATCACTGCACCGGCATTCTGCATACACCGAATCTAGCCGTTGCTGCGATGCAGCACTGTGGAAAATTCTACATGTTCGATCCATCCGTGAGGAATAGGGATGGCAAACCCGATTACAATGGGGCTGCATGTGTAATTAAGTGTGAGAATATAATGAGAATGGCGTGGATATTCGTTAGTAATTGCAATTATAAAGTTCCCAGTGTTTATACGCTCAATGCTGTCGATGTTTTGGGCTTGAAATTCATTTCGGCTGCGCAGAGTTGTCCTTCACCCTGTCAAAATTAATGTTGTTATTTCGGAGATTGCAATAAAAAATTTTCCCATTATCGAATAATTTTGGGTTTTTACGGGCGCTTGGGATTTGTCTGGGGGATTCCATTAGATATACGTGCAAGTGGTAATAAAAAATCAAATGCAGTGTAGATTTCTGTCATAGTAGAACAACATTCTCAAATTTCTAATTTTATTTGTAGATTCATGACACAATTGATTTTTCAGCATCTACAATAAGTAGGGATACAGGCTATACGAGAATTCGAATTTGATACAGATCACTTAGTAAATGTAAATACAATGTCTCACTTATTACAGTCTATAAACTAGATACTTAGAAAACACTGTACAACGCAGCAGAAAACTGACATTATCGTTATTATTTTTTTTTTACTTTACAATATGATACAAGCACTTTTGAAACAATTCGAGCTCACGGAAGGCTCGCGTCCCTTTTTCGCCATTTCGATATTAATTGTTATTCTCGTGACCTTTTGGATTTATTTATTTATTCATTTATTTATTTATAGCTCTTCATTGAGTTTACACAACGAGTATGGTTCACCTAGGCCATTGTTGTGGAATTTTTCTTTATTATTGTTGAATTGTACAATGAATTTAGTCACTCCAGTCAATTGATTGTACTTTTTTCAATCATTAAATTGAGGAAATTAACATTCTTGTCAGTGAATGTCGTTCCTCCGTAGTCACCAACGGTTCAATGATGCAAGTGATGCCCAGTCCTTATTAATTTTGGTCCCCAGTACCCATTGAGATCTGGTTCATCATTACTCACATCACAATGTCGTACAGCAGGCATAAAATATAATTTAATACTCTTTTTATTTGTTCACTTTGTCAATTATTTATTTGCTCTGTAATCACGTCTGTCAGTATTTTTTGTCAAAGAAATTTTCTTGATTTGTGGGGAAATCAAATTCGTTAGAGAGTATCACACAAGAGTTCTATATAATACGAAATGATTCATGGATGAGATGGAGATGAATGGAACACAATATGTTGAAGAGAACAAGGTGGAAAAATACTATAATCAATCCTTTTTTTTTAATCTACAACTGACAGAGTGCAGCCTGGGATTGAAATGGTAAAAAATATCGTATTATCAATAATATTGGCATGATGTTCGTATGGCACATTCAGTTTTACTATTCAGTGACGTATTACAAGTAATTAGAGGTTTTCCCCTGTACACATATTTTTTTTATAGTTTTTTTCAGTCAAGAAATCGTTCCTCCCAACCAACATGTATTCATGGATCCAATTAGCATAGCGTATACATTTTTATTTGCTTTTGTCACTCATTTTTGCTTATTTTTCATACAGTCTCTCCTCATTGCACTTTCCCCATTTCGTCATAAATGCATCTTAAATGTATTTTCTTTATTTACATCAACTGTCGTCTAATGAGTGATCGAAAAACATTTCTATCGGCCCTTTATTCCTCCCATTTTTTTTCCCTGTTAGTTTTCACTGTTGACTGGTGTAATGATAGGACAGATTGCACCGGAATGTATCATAAATCTGTGTGACTTTATTGTACAAATTTTGCATCGTTTTCTCCTAGTTTACAGTAATCATGAGTCTATCATAATTCGGTTGTTTTTTTTTTATTGACGAAAATAATAAGAAAGTAGTGGTTTAATAACGCAGATAAAATTTTAAAAATTACATTTACAATTGCACAGAGGAATTATTCACGAAATCCAGTCGCCAATATTTATGGAAAATCAAATATAATATGAAAGAGGACAAACAAATTTTCAGTGCCAAGGTAATTAAAAAATTCATATCATTCACACTTTCTCCTCGTGTCATAACATAAATCAAATATAAAATTTACAATCAACAAGCATGCATAATAAAGACAATGAGTTAAAATGTATGTCTCCTTACAATTTCTTTTTTTTTTCACGTACAAAAATAGTTGTTGTAAAGAAAATTTGGCAGACTTAATAAATCAAGTATATCTAGTATTGATTTTTGAAGAATCAATAGTTTTGCTTTTGTTCATTATTTATTGGAATATTCCTCTTATTCACCATAGGTGAGTTCTTAAATAAGTCAATATTATGGAGTTGATGTTATTGTGTATGATGAAGGAGTTCGATTGAATGATAATCGAGAGTAAAAAAATTTCTCAAGAATGACTGGTCATACACAAGAGCATCGATCTCATAATAATGGACATTGGAGATCCACGGTCAGTTTTTTTTCGAGATAATGAGGAAAAATAAAACGAAAGAAGAGAAATTATTTGATAAGAGGTGCATTCAGGGGCCAGTCGACTTGAAAAATTTCCATGTTTTCATTTTAATTTCAAGGGAAAAAACTAAGAGTAACGACTTTGAACTATAAAAAATGATCTTACAGGCTAATTAATCGCGAATATATAGACTTTAAAAAAAATAACAAATTGCATACACGTAAGTGTCTCGAAATATGGAGTTTGAATAGAAATTAATGATACGGCTTAAGGTAAATCATCTGTGTTAATCATCAATTTCTGGTTGCTTTTTTTCATTCGTTTTGTTTTATTCCTTTTATTACTTTATCATTTATCTTTATATAGTACCTGGCACAGGAACATGACTTGTCAGTCATGGGCATCACAATGTAACAAGGACTACAAGCTAAGTCACTCGCACTTCATAATGCAATTTTTACTATATTCGCATTTTTTAAATTACATTTTGTTTTTTTTTTCTATCAGTCACTTGACATTGCACGTGGCATCATGAGTGGGGGTGACTTACAGCTAGACACTTGGTCCTGAGTATTTATGAATCATTATTTATTATTTGTTTTTTTCTTTTCAATAATCTTCTCACTTCTTCGTTAACATTTAGAGTTGGTATTTTTCATTCGGACAATGACCAGTGATTGCTATAAAATCATTGGATTCACCAATGGTCATCCAATAAATCCGAATATTATTAGATATAAGTGAACCCCGATGACATTGAATTTAAGAGTCTTGTCACTTGGGGCTGCCCAGGGCTACGTAACACTGATCGCTGAATTTGATGGGCCCGATGGTCCTTGTCCAACTTCACTCTTTATACACTGTCCAGTCAATTGGTTAACGCTGAGCGGATTATTAATATCGTGAGGATTTGTGCCGACGGGATTTCGATGAGGTGGTGCTGCCTGCACTTGATTTGAATTTTGAGGCAATTGTGGTAGTGGCACTGGTGGGGTAAGAGGGCATGGACATGGACTGGCTAGACTCGATGGCGATGGCATCACCAGTGATGGACTCGCTAGACTAGACAATGCTGATAGTCCACCGGGACTACTCAATGACTCGTCATCCTCGGGTGTACCAGCCTCACCCACACTACCGAGATTATCCTCAGAGTGATCGTCATCACCGTCACCATCACCCTCACCGTCACCGTCTCCTCCCTCCCCCATGTATCTGATACATTTCTTCTTACGTCTGGAAGTAATAATTTTTATTAGAGTCTTCGTTATGATGAGTCAATATTTTACGATAATTGTCAATTAACAAAACAAAATACGTAAGAGATCGAGAGATGCACAACTCTGGAATCTCAGCAACAAATTATTCTCTATTTTGAAATTTATAAATTAAAAAATTCATGCATTCACTCGATGTACTTGTAATAATTGAGAACATTCGCAAAATAAATAATTGTCGTAATATTTTTTTACGTAGACATCTGTGACATTTTGCAAATGTTATGAGATTGTAAATAAACTCCATAAAACACTCGCTGCCATTACCATGCTTAATAGTTATAAAAATAAAAAGAAAAAGAAAATTGAATGCAAGCAAATGTGTAGTTTCGACAATTTCCATGTTTTTGTTTTTTTGTTTTTGGGTTTCAAAACTTTGACAATTTTAAAACTCGATACGAATTGATTTATCAATCAGAGATATTGTGAAGCGAAGCTACTACGGCAATATGTACACAGAAATGTGCATGTCTAGGCAATGAAAAATGAATGGAAGGATTGGCCTGTACATATGCGATATCCGAACCCACCAATTAACACATGTGTATATAGTGCACAGCAGTCGAGACATTTACCGCTCTGCAATTGGCTCTCATTATTTATCTCTCAGCTAATATAATTTTGGATTTAATCCACGAAACAATACAGAGCATTATAGGTCCATTTTTTTCTCGTGATTCTCCGGTGCAACTTGCCAATATCACGCTCAAAGTGATTATCTGTGAATTTTGTAGGCACGCTATTGCCTCAAGAAGATATGTAATAGCGAGTAAAACACATAAAATATTTATACACCACAACAAATCTTATAAATTGGATGATGAACTGCCATGCCAAAAATTAGAATAAAATCTATCAAACAGTTGTTGTTGTTGTTTTATTTTTTTTAATGAAAATTAATTCATTTAACGGAACCTGTTATGTATGTGTATTTAAAAAGTATATATTCATAAATATATATATATAATATATATAATATATATATATATATAGTTACATATCAGCCATGCTAAGGGCGACATTGATCAACAAACGTCAAACTAAACGAGGATGATAAATAAATTAACAACAATAATAAGCTGTAAAGAGCCACAACAATGAGAAACAATGCGAGCATCGGAACATCGGCTGGCTACTCATATCATGCCATTGTCGCTCAACATATGTCAATTGCTAATTTTTTATAATAATTATCTTGAATTTGTTTTTTCCTCTTTCACTAGAGTTTTAAGACTCAATGAGTAGGGCGATTATAGTATATGAGCGATTGGCATTGAATGAGGGCTTGCGTGTCCGTTGGTTTAAGTCGGGACTGACCACTGTTTTAAGAAGAAGTGTTGCAGTAGAAGGGAGGCGATAGGCTTGACTAGAGATTAACATAAGTGGGTTCTTGCTGAGGCGAGGAGGCATTGGAGGCAGTATTGGTGTTCGGTGGGGCGGTGGCTGCACCCACCGTCCCTCCACCGCCTCCAGCCACGACCCCTGTTCCCGCACTATTTCCCACACCATGATGGATTATGCTCGCGTGGATGCCCATCCCCGCTCCATGCTCCACCGGGCTGCCAAAACCAACCACCAGCCATTAAAGGGGCGCTCGCATCGACATCATTTATATATTCATTCATCTTTTGAATAAATATTATTTATTAAATTTTCTTGTCATTGTCGGTGGGTACAGTAGCACCGGCAATCTGATAATTTCAGGCACATTTCGTCACCCACATGCATGTCGCAAAAATCTCCCGGACATAATTTCTTTTTTTTTTTAAATTTCGCGAATGCAATTTCCCAGAAAAAAAATTCCCAGAAGGGGGAAAAACGCAGCAATAATTTAATAGTAATTTTCATATGTTAATTGATGTATTATTTAATTTCTCATTTCGTTTCGATAAAATCCCTTGAGATATTCGGGAATTTCTATTCAGAAAATATGTCTCCCAGATTTGATGATTGTCCATCGCCCCTTTAATGAACTTTACCATATTCCATAAACCCAGCCAGGAGTGGGGGGCGTACTATTTATACAGTACAATGGAGGTATAATTATTATAAATTTACTGGCGCTAAATAGATAGATTATGAACAATGGATATTCCGCAAATATCTACAGTTTAGTACTAGTGATAAATATTTACAAGCATCAGAATATTCTATTGTTATAAATCTAGTGAGACATATTCATTCACTTTTTTTCCAATTTCCATTCTTTGCAATTCTCATTGGAAGACACATTTTCTGATAATTATATTTCACAAGTATATTCTCTCTGATTTTACTCTCCACGAAAATAATTTTTGCTTCAATCCTTTAATCTATGTTTATTAAACATGCTTTTCTATGTGGATGACGAAACGATGTCAATGTGGAAAGATAAATCAACAAGTGTATGAGCAATTGGTAATTCGCTTCTCAGGTGATGAAACAATTGGACTTTGAGGAAATGGAACATTTCTGTTAATCTCTGTGTAATATTTCATCAATGTACAGGATAAATAATATTTCTTAGAGATAGGACATCGGTGTGAATCTTTTAATTTTAATAGAATAATTAAATAAAATTGGTAAAACGTACCTGCAGGGTTTACACCATTGACTTTGTTGATCTAATCCATACCTAGCACGACATTTCTTCATGTTGTTACCTGTGAACGGAAAAGAATAGTTAGTTCAATTGTCAAATAGTCGATTTGTCTTTTTTATTCATTGTATTGTCTTCTTTCTAATCACTAATTTGTTGTTCACTGTACATGAACCAAGTGCACAAGAAATGATTCTACTGTTTTTATAAAAAATACAACAGCAGAGGGTGAATTTGAAATGAAGAATGTCTACTTGTCCAATTGGATCATGCATTAAGTAAAAATTATGACACTGTGTTTAACTGTATTCAAGGAAAATTGAACAAATAACAAAACTATCATTCGCAAAAAATCTCATTACAACATGACAGTTGATAATCAAGTGATAAAATAACATGCAATGTATTCTGAAAATATTGTTGGATGTAAGCTCATATGTACAGTGAACAAAAATTCATTGGGAGTTTCAAATGTATTCGAGGGGCGGATGGTTGTAATGTTTTGAGGTATTGAAAAATAAAGTAAAATTTCAATAAAATAAACTCGAAAATAAAATGAAAAACAAAAACAAATTAAAAAAAAATCAATGAGGCAAATTAAGGATTCAGGCAACATTGAAACGATCAAAGGATAATAAAAAATGTATAATTGAAATTACAAGGATTTAAAAGAGTCTTGAGAAAAAAAATTAAACGCTGAGGATTGTCTGATTGCGGAATTAGGTCCCTGTAAAAATGCAAGATGGCCAGCGTCCCCAAAGTTTTTTTTTCTTTACGTAATTAATATATGTATACATTAATATTTTTTTATTAATGGATAGATATAATAATGAGGATTACGTGCGTGCGCGTGCCCACATGTAACGCATGCAAACACGAGCTCGCACGATAAATATAATACGATATAATAAAGAAAATACATATATGTTTGTACGTATTTTGTGTGTATAATTATAATATTTGACCGAGAGCCCCCAAGACAGGGGAAAACATGCAACATAATAATGTAGTGTAGCAATAGTTATGTAATAATAATAGTTTAATGGTAAAATTGGAGAAAAGATGTGAGAGGGGGGTGGGTGGGCGGGCGGGCGGGGGGTGATGGTGGTGGTGAGGGGGTGGTTGTTGTTGTTGTTGTTGTTTTTTTTGAGTGGGGGGAGGGCTATTGTAAGAATGTGTGGAATGAGGCATGTGGGTACCTCCAGGATCACTGTTTGTGTCTTGTTTGCGCTTCCTCTTCTTAGTTCGGTTGGTATTTGCGCGGGAAGACCAGTCAGGGTACAGCTGCATGTGCAACTGTCTCTCACGTCGCGCCAATTCATAATACTTGGCCTGTTCCTCTCGCCCTAGCGCGTGCCACTACCGAGAGAGAACCAAACACTTTTTGTAATTTTTATAGAAACCGTGACTAAACAATAGGTGATTATCAAGAAATAATGAAATAATAAATTTGTTTCTTTTTTTTGTTCACTATTCTACTGCCGCCACCCTTGTTGCCATTACTCAAAAGTTAGGTCATCTAGGAATCATATTGTTTTCTTGTTTTTTCTGTGAAAAACTTTTTCAAAATTCTTTTTTTTTTTTTCGTGTAAATGGAAGAGGAAAAAGAAAGCATTTTTGTACATTATTGGGGTCCCTACTTTCCGTTTAAAGTGCTAGAAGAACAGCCTAGGTTGCCCCCCTCGGTTGCACCATAATTTCAACTATTTCACATTCATTGTAAATCTGTACCTATACATACAGGTTGTCTGGTAGAATTCTCAGAAGTACAAGTCTCCGCTCTGCATCGTGGTCCTCTCAATTGATCATACATTCGGACAAGAGTCACTGATAATTGCAGTATGCAGTCGTCAACAAGTCTTTCGTGGATTCACCAGACACCCCATATTAAATTTAGTTATTATCTCTTTTCGTTAAAATCGTCACATATTTTAGCCCGTTTAAATTTTCAGTATTTCCGGTGAACGATTTACCGCTTTAGGGAGTTGGCCAGACAATCATTGTATGCACGCGGGTTACATTTTTCTCGTCTATCATAATATCCGGGTTTTTATCATCTTTTTTTCTTGCATCCCACATCATTCCATGATTCCCACAGACAATCCAATCCAATTGAAAAATTAATATCCGCTCATCAAAAAGAAGTCCAAGGAACGATTGAAAAAAAAAAATAAAAAAAAAATAAACAAATGGAAATGAAGACAAAAAAAATGAAAATTATCAACTGAAAACTTTGATAAAACCAAAAATGAAAATAAAAAACGCACAGAGACTTTGATCGTTTCAATCCAACCAATATAGGTACTATTAATTATCATTAATGAATTATTTTAAGGGCCTGCTGTTCTAGCACTGGAAAGTGGTACCTCCGGTGGGATCTGTGGATCGCTCTTTCTTCCTCTTCTTCTTCTTGCTGCCGTATCCGTAGTTATCCCTGGCACTCCAGCCGGGGTAGCGTTGCTGGTGTAGGTGGCGCTCCTGCCTGGCCGCCTCATAATACCGCGCCTGCTCCTCTCGGCTTAGCGAATGCCACTGCATGTAATATGCCCCAAAACGTTCATATTTTCAAAGTCTCAATAATTCTCGTGCACCGTGCTTTCTTTAACTGTCTTTATTTTTTATTTACTTTAACCATGTCTTTTCAACTCGTTCAAGTATCAAAAAGACATTCACGGGTACTTGAACATCATACCCCTTGAAATGAAAAACATACAACACCTTCCCCCCACCCTCCCACCAGCACGCGGACCCCTATCTATCGTCGTTATCATCACTGTCTTTATTTCTTCTCGTTAATTTTTCCTGATAGATTCCTTAGATCCCACCTACCAATGCTCTATTTTTCTAAAATATACATTTCTTTTTTTCTTTTTTTTTCTAAATTTTGTTAATAGTATAGTGAAGCGGAATTAACTAATTGACAAGCATTAGGCATGCATTGATATTGGTTTTTCATTGTTGCGCAGGAGTCAAAATTCTTTGAGTGAACACATTTTTAGCGAAATGTCCAGCAAAATTATTGATTTTAAATGTCTTATTTACATTGAACTGAAAAAAAAATACATCTTGACTCCTGTACGTGAGAGGATTTTTGCGTCAAGAGTTGAGATGATGCGAAAATCTCGTCTCAGTTGAATTGAATCAATGTAAAATGATGATAAATTTCGGAGAATTTACTCACCCGCCTTCCAAGAATCTGGTTGATCGCAGCACTCTCTTTTAAGGTACACTCTGCCACAACTTTTGCTCTCATTTCCTTCATATACAGCATAAATGCATTTAAAGGCTTTTTTATATGAGGCTTCTTTTTATCTGTTCGTAAAAACATTGATCATAGAGTAAAAGTTATTCACATAATGAGCATATTTGTCATGATGATTACTCTAATAATGTTACCTTGATTATTTTGTTGGCCAGTATCCTGTGTTTTTGTGTTGTCCGATGATAATGATGTTGAATTTTTTTGATCTATCGAAGACCTAGGGGGTAAAATACCAGAATTAATAATTTGGATATAATGGTGAAGCTAATAAGACACTTGCAATCACTGGTGTAATACCGTTTAGTGTGAGACTGTTTAGTTTCATGATTAATGGATTCGCGTTTGGCGTTCGGTAGGGAATAGGCCGACGTGGGGTTCGGTGAATGACACAATTGTTCAGTGATATTAATGGTTGAACCGTCAAAGTATGGCTGTGGTAATCTCAATGGATTTCTGATAAAGTGTTGTGGGACGGACCAGTTCATCTGTTGACACATTATTTGTTGTGCCTCAACCATAGCCAACAGTTGCATAAAATAATACTGTGATCCATACGGCGGTGGGCTCAAACCTCTCGGTAAATTCATATTGGACATTTGCATGAGATTACTCATGTGAAGTGCTGTTAATATTTTTTGATCTGTCATAGGCTGACTATTGTCGGTTGTTTCACTTGAATCCTGCAAGATGGCCATATTATCCGATACACTTGATTCAACCTTTTCCTCATCAATTTTTTTCATTGACGTGATACCATCGTCATTGAGGGATGAATCACTGCTGTTATTATCCTTTTTCATAACCAAATTCAGTGGTTCTAGACACTCGGACTCCATTGCCACTCAAAATATGGCAATTGACTTCACAATGCTTTGACACTTCATTAAAAGTATTAATAATAATCTTTTGATATTCAGCACTTGTTAATTTAGTTTTTTTTTTTTTCTAAATTATTTGTTCCTTTCCTCAATCACAGCCTAGACTTTGGCAATTAATTTCCAATATTTTTTTCGCAATAAGCACCACTTTGATATTACAGATAATTTTAATGTCACGATAAAATAGTGAATGAACGATTTAAAAATATAATTTACATGTTAATGGGGTATAAAAAATTGTATACATTGATTTATCATATCGCGTACTTCCACCACCACTATCCCACCTCTTGCACCAATTTTAATGGCTCCACCGCCATATATAATATTTAATATCTTACAACACACCATGTATGCAGGATACTTATTATATACTATGGGTTATGTGAATAAACAGCCTATTCCATTGGTCAGTTCTTGATGTCTCGTCTTGGAGTATCTTGTGGGGGGGTTGTCGTGAACGCGGAATCACCAGGCGGTGTTACGATTGATTATCCGAAGTGGGGGTGGAGAGTGCACGAGCCATCATTGCAATTCATGGCTCTACAACTACATCTCGCTGTGCCCTACCAATGTATAATTCCTGTTAGGGGGGAGGCCAAGGGGATGAGTGAAAATCGCATTTTTTTGGCGGGCCGCGTGGCGCTGCTATCGCTAATCCTGTCAGGGCTGGCACTTGGATGACATACACAGGGCTTTATCACTTTATGTATATTATATTCAACCTTCGTCGAAACATTTTAATGTCCCACCTTGGAGTGCTCCTAAAATTCTATCATATGACTCTATTGAACGACCCATTCTCTCATCTGTTCAGGGTCTTTGTCATGTGAAGGTTATCATTGTCATTTCAATGGAATTAGTTCGCTTTGTTATTTTTATTATTCATTGTTGATAATTTTTCGATGATAGGTCATTTAGAAACAAAAAAAAAATCCACATGTCGACGTTTATTTCTTTGGGATAACTCGATGAATGGAACGAATGTGAATGCAATTTACTGTATCATATGGCTCGAAACACGGATTATTATGGGATAAAAATACTGGCGTGGTAGATTCCGCGAACTGACGAGCGTTACTGCGCGTTATGGATGCGGACAACATTGTAATACCAGCCACCCCGAGGAGACTGAGCCCCTCTTTTCCGATTCGACAGTCATCATAATGGCGAATGGAGTAATTTTTTGAATATCAAGTCGCGCAGAGCTGTACATCAATGTTTCGTTTATTCTCCTTTCCATTGGTAGATTGATAAAACATCAGGTGAAATAGGCCGTTTGGTGGAGGCATCGTCACGGGGACATTGAAAAATAATAATGAAACAAAAGTGATGAACTCGGTCGAGTGCTAATGCAAATTATAAATCTGTTGAAAGGGTAATGATCAATACATAGAGAAAACGAAGCGCAGACGCTCTGTGGTTCTGCTGTTGCCATTCGATAAGTGTTTCACCCTGTTGACGCAAGGGTTAGGGGTTAGAGAGAGAGAGAGAGAGAGAGAGAGAGAGAGAGAGAGAGAGAGATACAGTGAGAGGGCTTGTGACGTGCTACCCCCTGTGGCAATCGCCCAAACTATCGGGAAAAATCATCCCTAAATAGTGTAAGTGCTTCTTTATCAGTCGTAAGTTACTTTTTATCGGCAGAGTGTCATCCACCTGCAGCTAATAACGTAACAGCTGTTAATTTAATGAGGTTTTTTTGTATCTCAATGGGCAAGATCATTGTGGATAAGCTCAAAGGGCTCATCAGTAGGTAAACATTGCTGATTAATCAGCCAGATTCATCTTATTTTAGGGATGCAGTTTGAATTTGCTAATTGGCGAGGGAGTCAAGTGCAGCGTAAATCAAACGAGCTCGATGATGGATCATGTTTTCCGCTTTTATTCTACCTCACGCGATTTTTTTTTTAAAACCTCCCTCGGTTATTCAAATATGCGCGTTTAAATTTAGTTTGTTTTATACTCCCATGCTCACCTGTGATTGTGATCCAAGGTTGAGTGATCCGCTTTGGGCGCTGATGACACTAGTGCGTGGGACGCCAGCGCATGTGCATGCGGACTCAGTCCGGGGTGAGGTGGCATAAGGCCGGTCGGTGAAAACCGATAGAGATCACTGCAAATATAAATTATGGCTCTATTTCTTTCGTGAACATTGATTTTTCATTACGACAAAAGAGTTGAAAGTCTTTATCATCTTCGAATACTTCAACGACAGTGTGTCGTTTCAATAGATGAACAAATAATTGTAATCGTTTTCATAGTCATATGGAGCTAACAATTGGAATTTCAATAAGAACATTGTCGTTGTTTGCCAATTTTTAAAAAATTTTTTACTCAAAATTGTTGTTTAAAATATTATTTAGCGATATATAATAAATGCATATCAATGTATATTACCTTGGTAAACTGGAACTTGTGATGGGTAAACTCGTGGGATACGGACTCCTGAAGCCTGCACTCGCCGGGGAAATGGGATACATGCTTGGTGTGTGCCTGAAAGTATTTCATCTCATTTCATCTCACGTAAAATTTTGACGATATTCGGAGAACTCTGGCATTTAAACGTAAGGAGGCAGAATTTTTTTAAAAGCTACACGTGAACACGTATAGTTTTACAACGCCATTGTGGTTTTGATAATTGTGCAATTTCGAGAGGCCCTCTCATCCACTTTTTTCCCTCGGTTCTTTCTTCACTTTTTTTTTTATTCACCGCAGAAGACCAAGTTACCCTCCTAATTGAGGGAAGGAGAACTAATCATCCATGAAAAATCTCAATTTAGGGTGATTCAGGCAGAAAGCAAATAACAAGAAAGAACACGGGGTTTTCTAAGTGAATCTCCACGCAAGTAGAGGGTGTATTCGGTCTAATAGACTGGAACTGAGAGGACACATTGGACCAGTGTCCATACGTTGTGGTGAGGGTATATCTCCTTCAGATTTCTCATTTCTTTTATGATGTGTTGTACATTGGAAATGAAAATAATGGGAAATAGAATAGATGGGACTTACCAAGATGCAGCTACTTGCGTCATCTCTGGACTCAGCATTGGATAGGGATACTGGCCTGTGGAGAATGGGTACATAGGTGCTCTTGTCAGACCTGTAAATAAATTAATCTCACATTAATTCGCAATTAATTTCTCTCAACATCTGCATTACTATTAATATGGAGTCAGAGTTGAATGCTCTATTGAAATTTATCTTGAGGATCAATTAATTTTTGTATGAGAGAATTATTCGATGGGAATTCAATGCTCGACATGCCTCATGGAGAGAAGAAATAAATATGAATAGATCTCATGGAGAGATAAAAAGGAAAAACTCGAGCGATGAACGGAGTGGAAAAATAATAAAAAGAATTGTTGGTGGATTAATAGAGAGGAATATTTATTCAAAATATGGAGAAAAAGTTGTACAAATAAATGAGCGGCTCCATGATTAATGAAATAAGAATGGAAAAGGAAAGGGGGAAAATGTCCTTTGAAACAATATCACCTGTTACTGAATTTCACTCGGGGATTTATCAAGACCTGTGTCACACAGTTTGAGGCCGATACTCTGAACATACGTTTCCGACGTGTCGCTGGGGTGCGTATTACGTGTCAAAGGGGTGCGGCTTGTAGCGGTAGCACGGACTAAACTGGTGGAAAACGTGCGTGAGCCTTTAGCGGAGTAAATAATTGGCTTCGTAAAGACCTAACGAATATATGTGAAGGACCGAGGGTGAATATATGCTGAAGGACTGAGCGTATTACACGTATGTATTTTATCAACTCTGAAACCACTGACGACGCTAATATGTATGACTATCGTGTTTACATGAATTTCATGTGCACTATCGCTAGAAAAACCAGTGTCACAGCACTATTACCTATTTATTTCAACACTGCATGCAAAATCGAATAGTTTTTTTTGTTTAGTCAAGAAAAGAGGAAAAGATCCTCAGACTGCGAGTGAACAAGGGGTAGAGCACTGTGAGAGGATACATTGGGAGGAAACAGAGGAGAAGGGAGTCATAGGAGCGGGTTCGTAATATCCTGGCGAGTCCGCAGACTCTGTCATGTGTGCTTAATCACTTTCCAGTCGACTCGGCAGCCTGCAACCCCATTATCGGCGTCTCACCACCCGGAAAATTACTCTTTTATTCCCCCGAACAAACTCGAGACTGAGATAGATCCGGTCTTACTATATCTGTACTCGATACTAGTTTTCGAGCTTTTTTGTCTTTTTTAACGGCATACCTACTTCTTCCCGGAACATTATTTCGTTCTTTATCCATTTCGGTTTATTAGATCGCGTCGTTAACGTTCAATGGAACACGCAGGGGCGGAAGTATTAATCCGGATCGTCGGAAATTCTTCGGGGAACAATTCGGAATCGAAGGAAATCGGATAATGAATGGAGGAGAGTGGATGTATGACGGGATAATTGGGTTTCGATGAAGGGTGAATTTAATATTCAGTCTGTGATATTTATTAATCAATAAAATTAAATGTAGTCGGTCAAGTAACGGTGGAGGCATTTGATATGCGCATATTTTTTTTAAAAACTCATTCCCGTGTTTTTGAAATGATTCAATAGGTTGCTAGATCACGCCGAACATGATAATTGCATTAGCCCTAGTGTTTATTATTAATTCAATCATGTGTAGCGCAGAAACACATTTAAATTATTGCGCAAGTTTATATTTTTAATGGCATTCTCCGATAATGATGTGATCCTTTTTAATAGAATAATAATAGAAATTGAATCTCTGCATTTACATGGCTGAATGGAGAGTAAAGTTTTCACGATGAAGAGGATAATAGCGCATTATGGGTTTCACACGCAAGGCTAATCCTTGCGTGTTTACCAATGATCATTATTTGCATAGGATAAAAGATAAATATATTATCATTTCAGAGTTATGGATATTTCTCCCACAGTGTTTCCCTCGGCATTCCACTTTGCTCCGCATGCACCTCAATTTTTCACTCTAATATTATCCGTATCAATGTGTATCCGCGCACATAGTCCTCGAGATAAATTGTCTAGGTAATGTATTCATACATCCAGCGGAGATATTGATACACGGTAATTGCATTAGGTTGACGCGGTTGTTTCACTGGTTTTGGATATTGAAACAAGCTAGACACGTGGCAGACCGGTACCCCCTAAGGGTGATAATGAATCCCGCTGTGCTCAACTAGGCGTATCCGTTGACGTGCAGAATTGCCATCATCTCTAGGGAAAAAGAGCTAACGAAACTGGATGACAATTCGTCATTCGACAGTTCTCAAGTACAATCTAGACAGATTTCTATCTGATAAAAATACCTCGTAATTTCGGACGACGATTTCACTCAAAATTCACATCTGTATCAATATCTATCAATAAAATCATGTCTGTTGAAAAACTATTTGTTAAAAAAATTTGTTCTGCCTCGATGTGTTTCCAATAACGCAGAGAAAAAACTTGAAATGTCGAGACGAAAGAAATGATACGAGCATGAAAAGTTTACCAATATCGAGCAGTTTAACACGCGAATCGTTTTAACAAACCAGGGTTCTGGCACGCCCTGGAGTATTAGTACATGTCTACGTGTAACGGTGCGCTCTTGTCTCGTTATTTGCATTCAGCATGCCATTTAACTGACCTAGCCAAGTGGAACTAGTTACCCTGTAATTGTACGCGGTTCACAAGGAGTGCCCATCACGAGTCCACTCCCTCGGTGTATTCGTGTGCGTAAGATGTTTTTGGTGGGTATTGGAAAAAAAAAATCACGCGCACATATTTTTTATCATCATTTCCACGGTACAATTCACGCAATTAGAGGTACGACAATTGAATGATGTAAAAAGAGTGTGTCTTGGTAATTAATGCCGACTATTTTAGTCCTCATACAGCGCCACCATGCGGCTATTTAACAGCGCGAATTCAATAATTTAAAGGGGCAAATCCGCAGCCGTATGAACGCGACGAGTTATCACTGCATTTATTGAATTAATGATAAATACAGCCCTCTTTTATCAAAACTCTCTTTAAATCGCTCAAGAGTATTCGCAATAAGCCACCGTAAATTGAAAAGTGGTGCTAATTAGAAGTCTTTCGAGTGAGAACACAGGGTGAAAGGAATTACGAGAGCCGAGGAAAAGGTGCAATGTTCAGCTTGATGCGAATGATATAAGAGGATGATGCGCATTGACGGATGTCTGTAAAGAAACGATGGAGCTTATTTAGAGGATAAACAAACAATTCCGCATTAATATCATTCAACTCTTCCATATTCTGAATCGAGTAAATAAAGGGAGAGCGAGTCCTTTCACGGATATTCTTCGCGAGTCAAGACATTTTTCTCATCTCACGGGTTCACATGCACAAAGTATTGGAGTAATAAAATGAGGAATCGGAGGAAGTAAAGGCCCTGTGAATGGTGAAAATATATCAGACAAAAAAAATAAATGAAGGGAGGATCGGAGATCCGAATCTCTTTGACCTGAATGCAAAGGGGAGACTTGTACGCTTCACTGATTAGCCTAATGGTTGGCTCTTCTCTCGTACTTCTACTTGAACGCCAGCAGCCTCTTTTCCACAGTATGAAGTTGAATATCTCCCTTTCGTAAATACTGTGCCCTTGACTCGCCAAGATATATCCCTTCAATTATTCGAATCATGAAAATATCAATATTTACAACCACTCTGGCTAACTTGTGATTCTTAAGTAGATCGCTCAAACGGATATTATACTGCATAAGTCGAGTGCGAGGTCTTGACAATTCGAGCCAGCCACTCGATTTTTTTCATCTTCAGTTGAGGATTTTTAATATTCATGTATTTTATACTTCTGATATTTTAACTGGTGAAGAGAGGGGGATAATAGAGATGTTGGGATTGAAATCAAAGTATCAGAGCAACCTCCACCTCAGTCGTTGCCACCACCACCCATGAATAAATATTAAAATGTACTTAGAACGATTGAGACGACAAATGAAGTCAATGTGAATGAGCACGTACGAAAAAAAATTCATAGAGAACCTAGCGAATTGGATAGACAATTCTATTGGATTTCTGGTTGATCTCTTTTGAAAAATTCTTCGGCTCAAATTTTTGGTGTTGTTGAAAAAATGATAAATTCCACGTCGAAGAATTGTTGATAAAAAAAAAAGTCATAGAATTTTCTATCGAATTCTCCTGGTTTTTCTGTGAAATATTTGTTTGTGCGTGAGTTTTGGCAATTGTAAGTAATCAGATGTAAGAATTGGGCGGTATCATGTGGCTGACCTGTGGAAGCTGCTGCTGCTAGAAGTCGCTTCCAGTTTGTTGCGTGTGTGGGTGAGCCGTGTGATGATGGTGGCCAGTACTCACCAGCCGCCGCTGCCGCCTTGCCCGCGTCCAGCGCTCCGTAAGGCGGTATTCCCATGTGTGCAGGCGGGGGTTGTGTCAGGTGTTCACCGTTTGGACAGAAAAATGCCGGTAATCCACTCGGATGTGTACCCGCCAGGCCCATTTTACTCGCCTGAAACAATTATTAAATCATCAATTACGTCATTTCTTCGCGAAGAGGAAAAATACTTTCAATTTGACACACTAGTTTTTCTATTGCAATTCCTCAACATTGGCGATGATATTTCTGAAAATCAAAAACATTTTTTTTTCTCAGTGTCGATGAAGAGAGAAATTAGAAATTAGAAATGTAAAAAAGTTGGAGAAACAAAAGGGAATGAAAATTCCGTGAAAAAACAAGTGGCACAACCCTTATTCAATTTTAGTTGAAGACTCTTGAATATCGTTTGGGCTTTATTTCCGCAGCGTTTCGGGAATTGCGGTTTTTTCAAGATTTTATTGGCACCCCTTTATTCCGGGTCTACCAAGTGGTACGGTATCGCGGCCAAGTACCAAATTGGCTAAATTCGGTTGGCAAGGGGAGACGAAGGCTAAAGGTCTTCTATCGCTCTAAAGTGAATGGTGTGTGCGCGCGGGTAAGACGTCATATCATTGTGGAGTGAGGAACCCCTCTTACCATTACAGAAGCGACATCTCTCATCGATCTGATCGCAAGTAGGAGACCGGGGTCTAGCGGTGCTCTTTCCATCCACAAAAGTACTCGTGATAAAAGTCGCACAGTCTCGTCAGCGCTTGGTACATCGACCTCAGATGGATCACAACCCTCACCACTCTCCTTATCAATATCCGCATCACCATCGTCATTACCTTCGCGTTCAGTTTTTTTTACTCGTTTAGCGAGTTCACTCTCTTCGTCCAAAATCCACTTCTGAAACTCAATATCTCCGGCTTCAATTCCCGCTTCACTCGCCAGCTTGCAAAGTTGCGACATCAATTGCTGTTCGTTGCTGTGATGATTTGATACTCCACTACATCCAACGGATAATGAAGCTCCGGGGGGTGAAAGCCGGGCGTTTTCATGCTCCTGAAGCAACAGCCAACTGCGAGAAAATGTCTCGGAACGTATGCTCAACCACGCACGATGCAGTTCAGCGAAGGCCTCTTTCAAGCTAAATTTTCTAATCTCATCGTCCAAAGCACTTTTTGATTTCTCCTCCAAATCAAAATGACAATGAACACGCGTGAGGAGACCCGTTGCGAATCTCATCCGAAGTTCGTTGGTAACAATTCTAGGCTCTAAACAATCTTTTGGGACAACCACTAATCTAACAAGTCCATCAGCAGTAACGCATTCAACTTCCGGTGGAAGATAATCCCCTGATTCAGCCACCAATATCGCGCCATCTGGATGCATGGCTATCGCTGTCGTGGCGAATTCGCGGTGAAACCACCATAAAAATAGATCAGCTGTTAGTGAACCACTACCGCCCCCAGCATATACAACTGGTTGAGTAATCATATTGACCCCCCGCAGACAACGCGGTCGCCAATGACGACCGGCAACCAGGAGTCTTGTTCGATGTCTACCTTCATGGTCGGCAGCCCCTACCACCCATACTCGTTCACCGCTTACAGAACGCCTACCTGGCAGGTCCCGCCAGTCGAGAAACGAAACGTGCGCCAGGTATATCCGACTATGGTCATAACCCTCTAATACATTTCTCAGGCTCTCCAAGGGCGCATGCGTCGTACTGGTCAGTTGTGGACGACTTGTCGGTGATGATGCTGTTGGCGAACTGACCTTGACGTCTTTCAACTCATCGTTATTATTATTATTATTCGTCGCATCCTCCCCTCGTCTTCCCTCGCATTTCTTCCTCTCCATTTCCTCGTTTTTAATATCAATGCTTTTTTCATCCAATGAAAATTCAGACTTGAGATCATCGTTGGAGTCATCGGGATCCTTGAAAACCTCGTGTCCACTCTTTTTTTTCCTCCTCTGATGCTTCTCCATCCACTGCAACAACAGGGCGCCGTCCAGTGCCTCGGGATCCAGGGACTGACGCGTGCGCATAATCGCACCGGATCGACCTGTCTCACTAGCAATCGCGCCAGCAGCGTTGCTATTTTTTTCAGTTATCATCGTCTCCACTGTTCTTCGTCTACGCTCTTGCCTTGCTGTCCGTTCGCCTAGTACTCGCGTTACCACAGTAACACCGACTACCTTTCGAGCTTTTCTAGTCACTTTGCCACGCGCGGATTTGACACTCTTCGGCAACATCGCGGCGAGTATCACAGAAATGTGTACGACTTACGTGTTGTTTTAATGGAGTCATCAATGGAGCCTGATTGAGGCGGGGTCTGCTTGCAGCAGCAATGACCGTTACATCGCATAATCGGGTGTTATGTCAGCTGATGGAATTGATTTTTTGATTTTTTGATTTTTCCTTTTGCCCCAATAGGACACGCGAAATGCACTTTATTCCGATAACTCCTCGGGTTTGTTGCAGTCCCGGGTCCTCTTGCGCTACCGAACGACGACTGAGTGAACGGCCGCGACGCAACCGTCAAAGGCTGGAGCGGGAACTAGGAGGCTTTGATGTACTGCCGCCCGACGCGCACAAAGGCCAAAGCAGCTTCCAGTCTCGTTGGTTGGCATGGTACATCGGTGGGTGCACGAGGGGAGGAAGAGGGTGACTCCAGCGCCCGACCGGAGAGGGAAATGGAGATAGTGATACACGGGGTAACGACATATAATACTGGAGCGAGCCATGTGGATGGATAGAATCGGGACGATTATTACTCAAAGATCGCATTTACGGCACTTTTAGCGGAATATTCTCTTCTCGGTGATTTTGGATTGGTGGATTCCTTCGGTACTGGGTATTGAATGCAATGGTGAGGGATTCCAGGGAGATCTGTTTCATGAGAAAATCTTTTCGATCTGTTGGTCTATGCTACTGCTGACGCCTCTCATGTGTCGTTGTATAATCGAATGAGAACCTCGCTCGATGAATATTCATTTTTTTCCTTTTAATATTCATAAAGATATGACAACAAACCAGTGAGTTACCGAATTTTTAGACTCTGTTCCATGACATTGAGCTGAGTTTTTCATTTTGCAAGAGATAAAATTGAAAACCTGGGGCCACGCAGAGAGAAGAATGTGTTTAGTTATCCCGGAATTTTATTAATCGCGTAAGGTATTGATCTTCCAGGAATTTTTACCTGAATTCTTGAAGGGAAGTCAATAAATCCTGTAAAAAATGTAATTTCCCAGAAATATTTAGAATGCTATGGCACTAGTAATTAAAGAGTAATTTTTAATTAAAAAATCTAAATTTGCAATTTTCATAGGATTTATTGATCTCATAAATTTGAATTGCTTTTGAAAATAATTCTAAATACGTTGGCTTGTAGAAAAATATTTCTGAATACCCACTCGCATCTTATCCTGTCACATAGCCCTCACTTCAGTCGTTTACTCTTCCGCATTGACGTTTTACCTCAATGGTCCTTTTCTACAGTAAAAAAGTGGATGGAAGAGGTAGTATTTCGCGGGGGGCGGCGAGTGAAGCTCGACGGTGGCCAACCCCAAGCTGAGTTGCCGAGGCAACGCGAGAGGCGTAGGCGCGGGAGGCTGAGTTACCCGGTAGGGGGAGAAAAGCACACCAGGCGTAACACTCGAGGAGGATGGAGATAGACTCTGATACTTCGTATGTACATTTTGAAACAACAGGGGCAATCTTGTGATGATGAGGCAGGACTGGATGATATTCATTTATTTAGGCGAATACGAAATGCTGGGCTGAATAATCAAACAGGGATTGGGGCTCCATATTTGTCAATTCTCTCGCCAATTCAGTGAAATGAGTGGAATTTCACGTTCAGAAGTGTAAATATGCTGAATAAATATCAAGGATCTAGTTGCTTGCTGTTAACGAGGCTTCTTAATTATTATCGCCATTCATTAACTACCAACGAACGGCATTAATAGTTCAAAAGCCTCGCTAAATTCTATAAGTGTGGATCGAAGAGCGAAAAAAAATTAGAAATTGATAAAAATTGACAAATACACGAGACAAGATTGATAATCAGTGTTTTTTTTAATGTCCCGAGTGTGGAAAAAAAAACCTCAAGATGGTATAGGTCTAACATGTTGGATAACGCGAGTGGAATGCAAAAGTGCTCGAGCGAAAGGGGAAGGAAGGGAGTGAGATGGGAAATGTGGGAGGCAAGGGGGTGAATATAAGGGTGGGTGGCCGGTTGTAAATGTGAGCCGGAGGGGTTATCGATGGTGGCGGATAGTTGGGAAAAAGGGAAGGGGAATTTGTGAGGAACCCGTCGGGGAGGGGGAGAGGGGAATGTTCAAGTGGAAGCTGTGGCCAATCCGAAGGAATCGTCGCCATGGCTACCGGCGCCTGCGTCCGCTGTTCTCACACACAGAGACTCGTGTGTACAGTGCTTTTGCCGCACCCCTTGCTCATGTATATCCCACCCCTCTCATCCGATTTTCCTCAGTCCGTTATCCGCCCTCTTTTTATTTAAGACGGGGAAAACCGCGCTGCTAGATCGTCGGCGCACGTAGAAAACCATGAAACTTCCTTTAACCTACTTTTAGGGGAGGTCAAATTTTATCACGTTGTGGCTAGGTATTTGGTTGTTGAACAATATTATTTGTATCAACACCAGAGAGTGTTGGCTCGAATTGTGGCTATTGTCACTGTAGCTTTCACCGCGCGCGACGCTTGTCTGATCATACGCTTTGCATTTCTACTTTCTTCTCTGTGACTTCGATTTCACTGATGATTTTGCGATTGTTTCACGACGCAAGCACATGCTATTTTCAAAAAGCATGTCATAGGAAATTCCACGAAATCTCAGTGAATTAAGGGACTGCAAAAAAAAAACAATAGATCAAGACCGAAAAAACCCCGGGCTATTTGTTATAATTAGAATCAATTATACATTCTCCTCGGCTGACTTATTTAGAAGTTCCATAAATTACAGGCGCAATGTCTCTAAGCAACTCTTAATTTATCCCTGTCAATTAATTGATTTTATGCATTAATGCCCGAGTGGTTTTCTACCCTGAAGAAATTTTTTTCAAAGATCGACTCTGTTATCTGAATGCAACACAATATAAAATAATTCGTATGACTCGTGAAGTTG